TTCGCAGCTAAAATCGTAGCTTCACTCTAAATTCTTCCACAGGCAATATAAATGAGTTCTAGGACCATGGTTTGATTCGTCATCTTCTTCTGATCACAACCATGTCCATCACTGGGGCCAATTATTCCTGTAACAAAAAGCCCTAAAAAAACCTAGAAAACCCTACAATGGTAATCCACGATATAAAGCATATGAATGAAATTGGTTATTGCAAAAAGCTAGCAAATGACATGGTGATTCAGAATATGCAATTGTTTTTCATTATAGATGCAAGAATTGTATAAATCGAATTCAAGAACAGGGCGGCTTCGTGAATGACTTACAGCGCTTGGGAGGGTCTGGAAATGCGTGATTTTGATTTGTTTCGCTTGTGGAGATGGCCAGGAAGAGATTGAGATCAACACCAAGCCTTGAAACTTCCTCTAGACTTGATTTCGATCTCACACTTTTTTGGTGTTTTTGCAAACTTTGTTCTTGCTCTCCAATTGATCTCCCACCCCTATTTTGGTCTGCACACGACCCTTATGTATTGTATAATGTATTAGGTTTGAATTTGCTGTCCAAATCTTCCTGTATCAATGCTTGGATATTTGATTTGATTTTCTTTTTCAACCTTCCAAATTTGGATTGACTTGAATCTTTTTGTACACAACCTGCCTTGATTCTAGTTTCAATGCCTTGCTAGCTGTGATTAAAGCCTGAAACAATCAAAAGATACATTGTTATCAATGCTTTGGATTGTATTTGATTTTATTTGATTTAAATCAAATCAATTCAAATAAAAATCAAAATAATTAATAAAAATATGATATGGACACATGGCCAAGGCTGGAGAACGTGGGCTACAATGCCAACTAAAAGCAAGTGAAAAAGAATGGGCCCATTTGGCAAAATTTGAAGTTTTGGGCATAGTTGACTTTTGGCAATTTTGCAAAAAAGTCCAACTTCAACAATGCATAACTTCCTCAATTTTGAACCTTTGGAGGTGTTCTTGGACTTTTTAGAAATATTGAGATGTCCTCTAACCAACCCTTTTGGTATCATCTCAATTTTATATTGCATGTTCAAGCTTGAAGATTTGACAAAAAAGGTGTTTTTGTTGACTTTTCAAAATGACCTATAATGTCCAAATTCATAACTTCTTGTGAGTGCATATTTTGATCTTGGGATATGAAGATGGATTGTAGGGAATTAAATCCTCTTAAAAATTAGCTTTGGATGGGTCATTTATCATAAAGTATGAGAAAGTTATGCTTGGTCAAAGTTGAGTTGACTTTTCCTACAAAACCCTAATTTAGCAACTTTTGAATCTTGATGAATTTTGAGCAATCCTTGATGAATCATGATCAAACCTTGATCAAATTAGGAAATGCACTTTAAAATGAGGATGTTGACAAAAAATCTTGAAGTTTGACTGTATGGGGGTCACAGTTGACTTTTGCCCTAGCACAATCGATTTTTGGATCTTTGAGCAATTGACTGAGCAAAATTCCTCTGCAAGGCTTGAAACTTGACATGGATTATCTTGAGAATATATTAGGACATTGGTGAGCACTTGGGGTTACTTGGACTCAAGGATCTTGATGCAATGTGAAACCCTAGTTTGGGGAAGACTGTCTTAGGAGAGAGCTTGTCTGACCAACTCTTGGGCTATCTTGAGCAACTTGGAGATTTTTCTTGACATGTTTTGAGAAATATGAGAGGGAAAATTTTGGGGTACAACACCCTCCTCATGAGTGTATACGTCCGTGAAGACATCTTCCCCGTGCTCGTAAAAATACGACCTCCACTTCCAGGGTTCGTTCGCGACCCAATCCCGGGGGTCCTCCTCGTCTCCAGGAGGAAACAAGCTGCCCTGGTCTGTGGAAGTCGCCCCCATGTCAGGCTCCCCCATTTTCTGTCCCATCTGGTTCTGCATTTCCTCAGAGATTTCCAGGATGCTTGACGAGCTACTTGTCTCGTCTGAGAAACTCCCAGAAGACTGTGTAGATTCACTCGAAATAAAGACCCGAGCAGTATCTGACATGGCACCTGAAAAGCAGAGGAAAAAGATGAGCTCGACATTAATGCCAGAACCACCCTTCCACTGCTAAACAAGCGAAAGGGCGCTGAGAAATGAGGATCATATATCCGACCAGAACCCTCATTGAGGCACACTAATGGGCATGAATTGCAGAAAAAGCCCTAAACCCTAATGAGCCGCCTACGGCGCACCACGAAATCCCCGAAGAGACCCCACGGCGGCTCTGGCGATCCTAAATCACGGAAACAACATTCACTTCTAACAAAGTCCTCCCTAACGGAATTCTAAATCCTAACCACATGCATCTCTAGAAGGGAAAAGGAAAAATTGCAAAAGAAAACAACAACGGAAGATCAGAAACTCACCAGTAACAGAAGAAAAGACAAAAGTTAGCAGCTGCGAACAGAGAAAAATCAACGAACACCGGTGGCTGACTGTAGAGCTGATACGAGCAGTTGAGAGAGAAGACGAAAAATACTAAACACCCTGTTCCTCCCGTATTTATAGCTGAAACAGTCCGCGCGTACGAGACATGCGCCTGGGGAACCCTAGGGTCGTCATCATTACACCCTAGCCCTAGGTCATTATTGCGCCACTCTGCTAGCATGCTTCCCAAAACAAACTATCACTCCAAATTCAAAAGTCTTAATGACCAACTCCTCGTCTCTCCGCAAGCAAGGCGTAACAGGCGACACTCACTTCCCCGTCAGACACGCCCAGTTCCACAAGCAGATGTTAAAGTCATCACTTCCGTGTCCAGAAGCAACGACTTGGGGGCTATTATTCTGGATTGTACCGACAGCTAGAGTGGGCCCAGTATAGAAATTCCCTTTGGTACGGCTCACACGCCCATGGCTCAGATTGACCGCTACACGTCGGCCAATGTCAGCTGTTTGTCCTCCCGAACCAGCACTGACCCAGGGTTATCGACGAGCATCCCCTCAGCCTGCCTGACATCAACGTCGTGCAAACCACCAAGAACCGACCAGAGAGATGTTTGTAACTTTCCCCCTCCTCGGGACCAACGGCTAGTTACGAGAACATCTGCCTGGTTTGACCAAGTCTTGGTAGTTACCCGATTTCACGGACCCGCATATCTAGGCGTGAAATCAGGGACCAATGGCCACGCGCCAGGGGCATTATATATACCCTCACACCTGTGAGGGTCAGGTATCGAATATCCACTATTCACCACCTTATACTTTGCTTGTACTTCCTTGTTCCCACTATTACTTGATCGTCGGAGTGCCTTGCAGGTACAACCCTTTTTTTCTCCTCGACTTCACAGCCCGACTGCAAATCATCTTCCAGTCACTTCTCAAATTCTGATCAATCGGTAAGATAAAAAATAATATAGGTGGTAAGTGGTAACTTATTAAGGGAGCATTTTGTAAAAAATTTAGGTAAGCATTTATCTATTTTATGGAGCTTAGACAAGCACTTATTCGTGAGCCATTACAAAAAAACCTAGTGAAATAAGTCAAAAACATTTTATGGATATAAAAGGAAATTAAATGCTAATATGAGTGCATAAAGAAGAAATGCGTTGAAAAATTATATACTTAATTATCTTGTCAAAAACTAAAGTTATGCTCTTTCGGATGTACAGATGGGAGGAGTCTTTCAATCGCTTTAAACATATATTTGGTTTGAATGCACAAGGAAAATACAAAGACAAGCAAGTTTACTTCATTTCTGAAAACCATGATATTAGTTATGAAAGTCTTCATTATGCAACACCAAAGGTATTTCAACGTATTATTGCTCAACTTTTGATGTTTATAAGTTGCAAAAAGGTTGCTTCTGCTGGTTTGTATGATACATAGCTATGATGGAGTAAAATGCCAAATACATGGATGAGAATCTAGTCACTGTTATATTAGAGTCCTAACTGTATTCAAGACCTTAGCGATGAAAATATTACATATGTTATCCTTATGTGTTGTTGATTTTAAAATTTGGACTCATTAATGATATTTACAGATTTCTAACATTTTGTATGGACTATTGCTACTTTGTTACTTGGGTACAAGTTTCCTCTATATTCACGATCATGATGTGAAGAATGGAGATAACAATGATTTCTCTACCAACAGTTTGATTAATTGATTGTGAAATATTATTGTTTTAAAGTTATTTAAAGGGGGTTTAAAACCCCCGCATCTGTCTCTTTTTTCTTAATAATAATTTTAACTGATATGACGTATGTTAATGGAATTTAACGGAAGAGACTAAAAATAAGAACGAAAAATATTGCGAAAATTATTATTTGAAAAAAAAATTTTAAAATTAAAATTGAAGGTCGTCATATTTATATAGACTTAAAAACATATTTAATTCTAAATAAAATAGTTGATTAGCAACACAATTTTATATTTGTGTTATAAAAAATTTTAAAAATAAATATTTAAAAAAATTTTAATATAATATTATTTTTATTAAAAAAATATTATTCATCGTATAAATACGATAAATAATATATATGGTGTAAATATTATTGTAGGAATATGTCAAGATAACAAACTGTTAAAAATTATATTCTTAAAGACCAATTATATATTTAAATTTATTAGTAAATATGTATTAAAACAATAAAGTTAATATTAAATTTATATGTATTAATTGAAGCATGTTATGCATTCTAAGAATATACATTCGGTCTAAAATATATGTGGATAGAGATTTTCCAGCGTTTAAATTCCGATAGCAATATAAAAAATTATTTAAGTGAAAATGAAAGCATTATTATTTGTGACTTTTATAGAACTAAAATTTTCCTTGAAAATTAAATTCGAGTTATATGTATTTAAAATTTGGCTATAAATCTTAACCAGAAACCAAAATTTGGCTATAAATATTTATCTTACATTCCTTGCCATTTTCACACATACTTTCTTTTCTCAGTTTTCTCTCTTTTAGATACAGTATTGATAATTTCTACAAAATCTCCATTGATTTCAAGCTAAGTGAATTATCCATGGGGTGGTTTCTTATGTGGTTACATCTTTTTCTCATCCATTTTCCATCCTTCTCTTCTTCTTCTTCTTCTTTCAATTTCTTATGTCATCATGATGAGAGTTCTGCCTTGCTTCAATTCACTTGTCCTTTTCTTCAAGTTGAATCCAGTTCCTTTCTAAATTCTTATCCTTATTTTTGTGATGAATATCTTGCGAAAACAAAAACATGGATAAATGGAACTGATTGTTGTTCATGGGTTGGCGTCACATGTGACACGATATCTGGACATGTGATTGGCCTCAACCTTGGTTGTGAAGGCCTTGAGGGTGTAATCTATCCTAACAGTACCCTTTTCCATCTTTCTCACCTACAAATACTCAACCTTTCTTCAAATTCCTTATCTGCCTACATTTTTTATTTTAAGTTTGACGAGTTTCCTAGTCTCACATATCTTGACTTGACTTATTGTGACTTTATAGGTGAAATTCCTTCTCAAATCTCACATCTTTCTAAATTAACATCACTTCGTCTATCTGAAAATAATGAGTTAAGTTGGAAAGAAACCACTTTGAAGAGGCTCATGCAAAATGCAACAAATTTGAAAGAGCTATTTTTAGATGGAACAAACATGCATTCAGTAAGACCTAACTCCATTGATTTTCTCTTCAATCATTCTTCCTCTTTGAGTACTCTTAATCTTGGAAACACCGGACTAAGAAGAAACTTCAAAAAAAGAATTCTCTGCTTACCAAGTATTCAAGAACTATATTTGTCAGGTAATGACTTTAGAGGCCAGCTTCCTGAATTTAGTTGCAACACTTTTCTTAGAATCTTAGATCTCTCAGAATGTCAATTACAAGGGCCAATTTCTCTTTCTTTTTCTAACCTCACACATCTTAACTCCCTAACTCTCACAGGGAACAACCTTAATGGTTCAATCCCTTCCTCGTCTTACTTTTTTATATCTCAATAAAAATCATCTTAGTGGTCACATCTCAAATGCATTTTCCCAAACAAATAGATTTCAAGAATTAGATCTGAGTCATAACAAAATTGAAGGTGAGCTTCCAACATCCCTTTCAAACTTTCAACATCTCATTCACTTAGATCTTTCATTCAATTTACTTAGTGGTCAAATCCCAGATGTGTTTGGTAGAATGAATAAACTACACAAACTCCGTATACGTTCAAACAATTTAAAAGGACAACTTCCATCTTCTTTATTTAACTTGACAAAGCTTACTAAATTAGATTGTTCTTATAATAAACTAGAGGCCTCCCTTCCCAACAAACTTACAGGGTTCCAAAAGCTAATTCATTTGAGGTTAAGTCACAACTTTCTAAATGGAACATTTCCTTTTTGGTTGTTGTCTTTGCCTTCATTGATACACTTAGATCTATCAAATAATCTATTCACAGGACATATCGGTGCAATCTCGTCGTATTCCTTAGAGGAGATATCTCTTTGTGGCAACAAGCTGCAAGGAAATATTCCAAAATCAATATTTGACCTTGCAAACCTAAATATATTATGTCTATCATCAAACAATTTGAGTGGCGTTGTTGATTTTCAACACTTTACCAAATTTCAAAATTTGTATTCTTTGTCCCTTTCTTATAACAGTCATTTATCATTAAGCTTTGAATCAAATGTCATTTACAACTTTTCTCAACTAAGAAGATTGGAATTGTCTTCTTTGAATTTGACTACACTTCCTAAACTTTCTGAAAACTCCTTAAGGTTGATCCAATATCTTGATTTGTCTAATAATAAAATTAATGGCACAGTGCCTAATTGGTTACTTGAAAGGGTCTCTTTAGAAATGTTAAACCTTTCTCAAAACTTGTTCACGTCAATGGACGAAATCTCAAGCAATAATTACCAGTTCGATCACCTTGATCTAAGTTCTAACTTACTACATGGTGAACTCTCTATGTCAATTTGCAATTTGATTTCACTTCGAATTCTCAACATGGCAAATAATAAACTGACAGGTCCCATTCCGCAGTGTGTTGCTAATTTTCCATACCTTCAAGTTTTGGATCTACAAGTGAACAAGTTTCACGGCACTTTGCCTAGTAAATTTTCACAGTACTGCCAGCTTCATGAGCTGAATCTCAATGACAACCAATTAGAAGGCCATCTTCCTAAATCTTTGTCCCAGTGTGAATACTTGGAGGTTCTAAACCTTGGCAACAATAAAATAGAAGACAATTTTCCTGATTGGCTTCAAACTCTGCAACAATTAAATGTGCTGGTTTTGAGAGACAATAAGTTGAATGGCCTCATTTCTAATATAAAGTTCAAACACCCATTTCCAAGATTAATGATTTTTGATATCTCAGGAAATAACTTCAGTGGTCTGCTACCAACAACCTATTTGAGAAGTTTTCAAGGCAGGATGATTGATCCTCAAGGGGGCGATAATAGCAATTTGCAATACATGGACATGCAATTACTGAATAGTACACTATTTTATGATTCTGTGTCTGTGAGGATAAAGGGGATCAATTCAACACTGGTGAAAATTTCAAGGAACTTTGCAACTATTGATATGTCAAGAAATAAATTTGAAGGAGATATTCCAGATGTTGTTGGAGAGTTTCATGCACTCATAGGGCTTAACCTTTCCCATAACAGCCTCACTGGTATTATTCCCCGATCCATGGGAAACATGACAACTTTAGAATCTTTGGATCTCTCATCAAATATACTCAGTGGTGTTATACCTGCAGAATTATCCAATTTGAATTTTCTTGAATTCTTGGATCTTTCCAATAACCATCTTGTGGGTGACATACCTCAAGGAAAGCAGTTCAATACGTTTTCAAATGATTCATATGAAGGAAACTCGGGGTTATGTGGATTACCCTTGTCCAAGAAATGTGGACCTGAACAACAATCTCCACCTTCACCCGACAAGCTTTGGAGTGAAGAGAAATTTGGATTTGGATGGAAACCAGTGGCAATTGGATATGGATGTGGATTTGTGTTTGGAATAGGCCTTGGATATTGCATGTTTTTATTTGGAAAGCCAAGATGGCTTGTGATGATATTTGGTGGCCAACCTAAGAGGAGAGTGAAAAGAAGAACAAGAGTGAGGATGACCAATGGTTCAACCATGGATCAGATGATACAAATGTCATAGTTTTATTGTTGTGCTACTTTTTCTATTGTGTTAGTTGTTATTTTCTATTTAAAATAAGTTTGATCATTTTTGTTTGATAAGCTACTTTTGATTTTGTATTATAAGTTTTCCAATGTTGTTGGTTTTCTGTTAATGTTGTATTTATTTTATTTTAATTTACATAAAGATTTAAGAAATACAATATTAATAAGGGTCAGTGTTAAATAGTTGGTGTGATGATGAAACTTTTATTTTATTTTTATAATAATAAAATAATAAGAAACTTTAGCTTCAAGTTTAGTAATGAATTGATGAAATCTCAACTAAAATAGTAAATGAAGGTGGTTTTTACATGTGTCTCTCTCGACTGTTTCTTCAATTGGATAGATATGATCTTTAACAACGGTTGAAAATGATATAAAATCATGCGGCATCAGGTGTTGTTGTGTAGCGTGTGATATTATATGTGTAACTTTAAATTACGATTCAGGGACTGTTATAGAAAATTGAAAAACACGCGTCCTATCACAATGGTTGTTCCAAAGAACCGTTGTGATATTCATATAGGTCCATGGTTTGATTCTCAGCAGCTCCATTTTAGTATTTATATTATTCTAGACAGCGCGCGAGATATTATAACAATTGTGTTATGTAAGCGGTGAAATTTTCTGCCGAAGTAATAAATTTAATCTTACTTTTATAATTTTCTCCATTTCTTAACCTGTAATTTGTGGATCATATCATAGCAGATCAATCTCAGCAGAATTGATAATTTATATTTGTGACATAGTTATCATAATAATAATAATAATAATAATAATAATAATAATAATAATTATTATTATTATTATTATTATTATTATTATTATTATTATTATTATTATTATTATTGTATCATAATAACAATAAAAATTGGATTAAGAACAAAAAATTGTATATTACTTCAAAACCAAAATGTCATAATTAAAACAACATCAAGTTTACACATTACAAAACATCGTATAAAAGTATCTTGGTATTTTAGTTTCATGTCTCTAGGTGTCTTTGTCTCTTGGTGTCTTGTCTCTTGGTGTATTGACATATAAATACCTATGATTTCAAATAATCATACTTGCATTAGTAAAAATACGTAGAAATTATAACATCAATTAATTTATTATGAATTAATAATGACACACTTGTTAATTTTCCTATATGCCTTCTCCATGATTGTTGTACCCCAAAATTTTCCCTCTCATTTTATCAAGATTCTCCTCACAAGATTCTTTGGACTCAAGACCAGATTAGGGTTTGCTCAGCTCAAGACATCTCTTTGCACTATTGACCTGAAATTAGGGCTTGAGTTTGCACAGGGATTTTTGGACTTTCAATGCCTCATGTGACTTTCATAGTTCATGTTGGACTTATAAGATTTCCCATACCAAGTTTCACGCCTTGAATCACATTTTTGCCCAGTCAATTGGACAGTTGACCTAAAAATCAGCTGTATTGGGGAAAAAGTCAACCATGGCCAATTTACAGTCAAACCTCATAATTTTTTATCCAAAACAACATTATAGACTCATATGAACCATTTGATCAAGTTTGGACCACAACTCCTCAAGAAATTTGATCAGATCATCAAAAGGGCAAAATGGTCATTTTTAGGGTTTTGACTGTAGAAGGGCAATTTCTGATTTTTAACTTATCCAATGGCAAATTGGCTTCAAGCATGGTTTCAAGGACTCAATGGCATCATCTTGACCTAATCACAAGATTCAAAAGATCTCAAATGCATTGAATTGACAGATGAATTTTTCAGTCAACTGATCAAAAATCAACTGTACACTGAAAAGTCAAACTTTGACTTTTTGGTCAAAATCAAGTGCCAAGGGTCATATTTCACCAAGATGTGTCAAAACATGAAACTTGTTCACCAAGAAACCTAATTTTGAAAATTAGGGTTTAAGTTTGAAATTTTTCATAACTTAGAAATTTTCTAAGTTATGAGAGTTTCTTATTTTTCCCCAACTTTTCCCAACTTTTTCACCATGATGCAATTGGATTCAAACAAAACTTCCAACATGAAAGTTGTAGTCCTCCATGAAATATACAACTTTAATTCACAAAGTTTTCCCAAAAGATGCTTGGATCTCAAGTTATGATTTTGTGAATAAGGGTCCAAAAACTTTTTAACTTGGTGAAATTTTGCCCTAGTTTAGGCAGATTTTTGACCTAACTTCATGGAAACTTTTCACCTAGTTCTAAGAGGAATCTCAAAATTAATTTCAAATATGGATTGCATATCATGTTACAAGCTTTCCAAAATGTCCAAGAACTCTCCAAAATCATTTATGGTTAGGGAGAATCGAAGAAAAGAAAATAGCCATTTCTCACTTTTGTCCATGGCATTTTTCACATTGATACAAGTTGCAAATCAGTTTGGATCATGTTTGTACTTGGTTTACAGGTTCTAATACTTTCTAAACTCCTTAATTTAATGCAAATACATTGGACAATGGCCTTGTTCTGACCTTTAGAGCTTTGTACAAAGGTTTAATCCAAAAATGGCATAAAGGTGGCAATACCATTTCCATAAAGCATACTTTTTGCAATTTTGTATTTCTTGAACCATGGACCTGATCTCTTTGTGCAAACAAGATCCACAAACTTGAGGAAAAGTACACCAACTATGTTTAGACCTCAATTTAGCAAGTACAACCTTTGAGCTTTGTCAACTCAACTTTTGCTTCAAAAGCAATTAAGCTTACAAAAAGTCCACAACTCTTCCATCTGATAAAACCAAGTCTTGCTATCATTTGAAACGACCTCAGAATATTGTAACAAGCCTAAGACACGATTTGCTAAGCTCTCAAACACCCTCTAACACAGAAAACCCCATTTCTGCCCAAAACAGGACATCTTCTGCAGAACCACTTCCAAAACATATTCCACTCATGCGTTTTGCTTTGAACCACTTAAAACACACTCCATACATCACACCTAAGCTGTCCAAGCCCTTCCCAACCAACTGTAACCCCTGTTTCGTACTTCACCATTTTCAATTTCTGAGTTTGCAGGTTGACTTCTACAAGGGGATTCAAGCCATTTCAAAGCAAGCTGAGCATTGGGAAAGGTTGAGGGAACATCAAGCAAGCTCAAAAGAACTTCAGGCCTCACTCAAAGTTGCTACATTGCCATAGCCAAACTCAACTGAACAAGGTATTTTCTAAGTTTCTATCTCCTTATTTAGGCATCATTAGGCTTAGGTTTGTGAAGCAAAAATGTAGTCTTTAATGTGCTTGAGTTGTACATATGCATAGTTCTTATTTATATTAACTGAGCTAGGAGAATTTGGATGATGAACATGCTGAAAATTTTAGGTTAAAATTTAGGGCCATTAAAATTCTCTCTGTCCTTTGAGAGTTCGGTCACAAAATGGATATGGTTGGAATCGTGATTGAAAAGGTTATAACTTTCATGTTGTAAATTTTTGATTTCATGCAAGCAATAGAGAGAACAGAATTTGAAGTACAGGGCGCGCGTGTGGCTTTCTCAAGGACAGGGATGAAGTGAACTTGGGCCTGGCGCTTGGGCTTGGTTCTTTCTGCACCCCCCTTTTGCTTTCTACACCCCCTTGGCCCATTTGTTTTATTTTTGTATATTTTCCATTTCTTTTATATTTTCTGACTTTATTTATTTTTTCTAAACATTGAAAAATCTCAAAAATATTTTCTTAATTTTTTGTATTTTATTTTATTATTTTTATTATTTTTTGGGCATAAAAATAGTTTATTAATAATAATATAACTTATTTTTCTAAATAAAACTTGTAAATAATACAAAAATATTATATATTTTTATTTTTATTATTTATACACTTAAATTAATATTTTCATACAATATTTAATTTTTTAACATTTTTGTATATATTATTATTATTTTTCTTAAACAAAAAATGAATAAATAAATAATATAAAGCATATTTTCTTTTAAACCAAAAATTAGGGTTTCCACCCTTTCAAAAAATAATCATTTTATTTTCTTATTTTGAAGACATAAATAAATTCATTTTTACATACATAAAAATCAATACAAAAACATTTGTGCATATTTACATTTTATTGTACATTTAAATAATTGTTCATTTATTTATTATATAAATTCAATTGGGTTGTAATAGTAAATTAGGGTTTTATTTTGAGCAATATCCCCTATTCAAAACTTGTATCCCCATCCCCATAATAATGTTGTAATAGTCTAGATTTACTTTACGCATTTTATTGCTTTCATATGCCATGATAGTAAATTAGGGTTTTGTATGCAAAGATCAAAAATCAAACAAATAGCATGACCTAAACACAAGACAAAAATGCATGAAAATGACAACACAATGCACACAAGCACCCCTAGGGTTTCATCCACTTTGTTGCCTTAAAATGGCCATGGTATGCATACTAGGTATCTTGGCAAAACAAAATCAAAACAAAAAGATCATAGTCCCTCGATGACGCTATCCAATCAGATTTGCAATGTACTTGTTGGATTTTCAATTTGACATAAAGTGCAACTTTTCAAGAATGGATATTATGCTTTATTTATAAATGGATTAATCTTGCATACAATGTCCAAACTCATAGAATAACACCTTGGCACAAAGGATTGGCATTAAATTATGGAGTGTAGATGAGATAAAAGACCTGTAATCTAGCTTAAGGCATGCTGAGTTCAAATTGCAAGGTTATGGACATGTAACTTGGTCATGAACAAAGTGAGTTTTTGCCATATTGTGAAATTCGATTCTCCCTAACCATGAGGTTGTTTGAGAAGTTCTTGGACATTTTGGAAAGCTTAGAATGTGTACTACAATCCATCTTTGAAGTGAAATTTGAAATTCCAAGTGGAAGTGTATGGAAAATGGCCTTGAAGTGGGGTAGAAAACCTTGTCAAAATAGGTCAAAAATTCACTAAGTTAAGAATGGTTTAGTGCCCTTATTCAAAAATTTGTAACTTGAGATACAAGCTTCAAATGAGAAAACTTT